GTATTTTAAACTGTCAAACACCAAGCGGTCACCGGTGACCGCAACCTATTGTTCTATAATTGTGTCTACAAAACCGGTACTCGACGAGTTAAAGGAATGATTGAGATGTTTCATTGGTCCATTTGACTAAATAGCTAACATGTTTATTCCTAAAATCATGTATTTCTGGTTTTTGCATGAAAGCAATCGCTCCCGATGTCGTGAGAAAAAAGAAGCAACTATACAATATCGCACTGAAATGTAATATATGTCTACTAAACTAATGCATATATTCACTAATCTCTTAATCCTGAGCATATCAATTCTAAGTTATATTTGACGATAAGCAACATACTATCATACAAGAACAATAAAAGTTAAAAATAATTTTATTGAACTTTGTAGACATCGGTTTAATGTAATATCAATATTATAAAATAATAGACTCTTTTTATGACAGAAGTAAGGGGTAACACTTAGGTTAAATTAACCAAAAGCTGCTAATGGCGCAAGAAATACTAATTATAAAAACTAAATATAATAATCTTTTATACATTTTCTACAGAGAAAATAATTAAAAGAGCGATTCAGAAATCAATCCCCAAAAACAACGTCATCCAGTGCTCAATAAGACTAAAATCTATCTACTAAACGAAAATCCCATTGTTTTCTTGTATATTTTTGGTGTACGTCTACACATACATATTATTGTATTACAGATAATAAGCGGCGCGTCAGCCGAAGCGCCCTGCGCGCTCCACTGTCCACCGAACGACCTTTGTCACAACGCGACGTGTTGCGGGCCCAACCAACAGGTGCGTCTTTTACCAGAAGACATTATTTAGTAGCTAGCCACTGCGCCTTAATAACAGTACAAACTTGGATATCGGGTCCTATAACCAATTCTGCTAAGGTTTCTTACAAGCTTTAACATTCAAACCTTCTTTACTAATCTTCCAACTATTCCCACCTTTTTTTAATCATTGAAAATGAACCACTAGTCTGATTTAGTAATAAAATTGTATAAATATTTCAAATATAATGTAAAATTTTTGTTGTTCATTCTGATTATTGAATAAGTGGTTCAATTCCAAAATGACTTTCTGAATGACATTTTTTGTAAATGAATTATGCTGTAATCTATTTACAATCTAAATTGGTTTTGGGATAATTGTTAAAGTAAATCATTGTACATATTATGTATATTATGTATAAAGTGTAAAGATCGATTTTGAATAAAGTATGTTTAGGACCAAAGATAGTTGTACTAGTATTTAGGGGATCGTCGAGAGTCTTCTGGATATGAAAATTGGGGACTGTGTAAAGAGAAGGTTATGTTTTTATAGCCTTTATTATATAGAAACTGCTGAAGCTGACACTGTTTGTACAAAGCCTGGGCGAGCACAATTTAAGGCATATAATGCAAGTAAATAGACGTAACTTGTTGAACAAATGCGCTTCTACCATCGCGTGTCCGTTATCAAACGAAGCGTCGAACACATTTGTCTATATTTCATGAAATACCCATGGACATAATAAACTGAATTTGTGCTATACTATTTGCTTTTTATTTTGAATCCAAACTCTTTTATTTATTTTATAATTCGTTTTCTCTTCTATGTCGAATAAAACACAGGGTGTTCAAAATATTCACAGATTTTTGTTTTATTTTGTTTGTCAGACACTTAGCAGTATTATTTGTATTTCAATTACAGTTTTACACTTTAGAAACGATAAGGGTTCGATAAAATCTTTTTCAAGGAGATGGTCTCACTGAAAGTGGACGAAATGAACAGCCTGACCCTCTCCATGTCCAACGATATCAAGAATTCTGAAAACTGATGTAGAAATCGTTAGATTAATTGTATTTTATATGTATAGAAGATTATATGTGTATGGGAGTTATTTGTTGAATCATATAGTTGTATTATTATTATTACAGGTTCATTAAATCATAAGTGATTTTGTATTAATGCCAAATGTTTGTTAACGAGGCTGTGTTCATTTGTTGTAAAAGATTTATAAAAATAGTAAAATGTTTACAATTGATTTGACTTTGATTTCGTTAGAGTCAACCTAGCTAGCGAGTGAATTACACGAGGAATTTTTAGAAACATATTATTTGAATTGAGTTGCATGTTTATTGGTGGTTGATAATATCTAATCTACACTATTATGGACCTATTACACTTTACTATTCACAGTTGGGTGATATGGCACACAAGGACGTTGGAAAAAAGGCGGACGTAGTCTCTTGAAACAACGACTGTGGCACCTGGCTACTACCTCTATAGCTTTACACGCAGAACAAACACACATTGACACGAAGGACATTACCGGTTTTGTAGACACAATTAAAGAACAATAGGTTGCGGTCACCGGTGACCGCTTGGTGTTTGACGTGTCATGTTGTGGTAACCCTTACACACGCACACATACCTAAATAAAGTACAGACATTTTGGTGCTTCAATCATTTCTAAGTGACATTATGTCCGCTTTTTTTTTAACGTCCTTGATGGTACACGTATTATGAAGGTGGAATGGTTAACACGATCCTCATTTTAACAACCTCTTCCTTCTCCTGGATTATGACTTTACTAGTTTGTAAGTGTACATACATAGTACTATATATAACAGTAAGTATGTATATACAATGGTGGATTCTTGAAGGAAAGTGGAATGCTTTTTACTGGGTGCACTTAAGGAAATTGGCGTAACCTACTTATTAATCGTTCGTGAAGCATTGGCGGCTGTTGTCGTCTAATCGATATCGTTGCATATTTTCCGAAGGACATGTTTTCGACGATCTATGTCGACAATGAAAATTGAATGACCACTGTTTGCTTGAAAAGGTAAAAGAGATTATTTTAGGTATATTAAAGTCTATAGTAATTTTGTAGTCTATTTTATGTAGTAAGTAATTGTAATTAGGTATTGTATATAGATAATTATACAAGGTTAATATAAATGACATTATTTATTATACACGTGCACATCATTTGAATACTTAATTGCCTCATACTTCTCAATAGGTACTCAAATATATGCCAATCACGTAATACACAATATAACAAGTATTTTAGATAAATATCTGTAATATATGAGCGTATTATGAGGGTCGAGTAGATGTACTAACGTATATGAGTTGTTGCTTCGAAACAATGTATAAGTGTATTGTTCCTATTTATCTGTAAAGCCGATCATTATCGGATATTTATTAAGATTAGATACACGAGTATGTAGGTAAATAGAGAATTGATACATATTTAATTTATATTTACATTCTTATTTCTTCTGGGTCTGAGTCCGAACATTCATAACGACAGTTCAGTCGCCGAGTCAGAAATTTCTTTGATAGATTTTCAACGGTTTCGTTTTGGAATAAAGTTAAAAATGTATTGATAGAATTTGTGGCTTCTGAACCAACTTTAGGCCCTAGGCAGGGCTGAATTTCAGTATTTTACATGAAACGACTTGTTTGTAGGTAAACAGGTCTGTTTGGGTATAGTTTTTTTTTCTTTGATTAGATATTTATTGGGTTTCAGAGTACCAGACTACTATAGAATACTATTAGTTAAGGGATACAAATATTTTGTAAAGTAAATAGTGTTGTCTTCAATTTTGTTCCATTTTTATGAGAATGAGGCTAAGTAATCAACATGATAAATTGTGGTCAGAAATGTAAGCATGTAATTTATCTGTGGTTTAAAACCACAGGAGATGAGGGGAGGGAGTATAAAATAATTATTGTACAATATATACAGGTATATAAGTATTATAATGGCCAGCATATCAGCCTACTCCAATCTGTCAATGTCATCCATTGGATTTTCAATTTCATTGTTTTAAATATAAAGTCAACATTTCAATAAAAAAAAATACAGTTGGAAATAGGTTTACCTGCTGGCGTTCTGTACACGGGTGGTAATTACAGCAGTCTCATCCAGGATGGATGATGTGTAAATATATCGGTGAGGTCTACTATCATATAATACGAGTTTTATCAATATTCCAGGAGCAAAGCACGCCTTCTCCCACAGTAACGCCGTACCTCTGCAGACAACGGACCATGGGATCTAGGACTGAGTCAATGTGTTCCACGAACGGCGCCGGTGCACCCCGGCAAGCCACAACGTGGAACCTAGAAGCTTTAGAGTGCGGGTTAGTAGAGTAACAACGCATAGCAGATCCGATTATCTAACTATCGATGTTGTTATCGTGATACCAAAACCACTCTGTTACTAAGTAAAATAGATGTCGTATTATTGTATGGTCTGTGGTGATGTTGGAAATGTTTCACTATTTATTTTTGATCTTGGTAACACTAGAGCAGTTTCAAAATAGTCGAATATTTTCAACTCACTACTGTAAAGTAAGAGAACGTGCAAATGTCAAATGACAGTCTTCCTATGAAGCCCAAAGAGTACAACTATAACTCGCGCATTTAAATTCTGAGGCTAAATTGGAACTTCTGGAGTATTAAATTATAGTATTTATGTATTTTTTAATTGATTTCGTATATACAATTGCCGACAGATTTAAAAGTACAAATAAATATACAAACTCTTCTAAAAAACCTCTAAACGAATGTTGCCTCTTAACAAAACTTCTTTACTATGTCGGTTCACCACCTCGATTTCTCAGTGATAGGGGATCCTGGTCAACTAATGAAGTTCACGAGAATCCCTTAGAGAATCCATAGGAGATCATGGTGAACCACAGCCAAATAGCTTAGCCAGTCTGTCGGCAAAAAAAACAAATTACCTATTAACTAAGAAATTAAGTAAAAATAGAGAAAATATAATGTAGAATCTTCAGATTATTTGGCAGCTAATATAAAACAGCAAGACGCAATAGAAAGGGAGTTTAATAAAAGTTTTTATTTTAGTTCCCTGCTCCCGTCGCCTATGCTGGACAGTCGGCTCGCGGTCTGACGCTCGGGCCCGACTATGGACTAACCCCGTCACTTTCACTACACATTAGCTGTGAAATTTAGTTCCATTCATATTTATAATCATCTACCAAAGTAACTGTGCTCATTTTTCCACACCGACCGATAATAAAACTATCTGTCTCGTTTTTTCATCAGGTAATCAGAAAAAGACAACACTATTTTAATCATGTCTTTGTCAAAAGAATATTGCAAATGTGAAATTATAGTTATCTCTGTCCAATGTTTGTTTTAAGTTATGTGTAAAAGAGACAGATAGTTTTTATGTTGGTGTAACAAACACGGCACTATTACAAAATACGAATTTCTAATGTGTCATCTAATGTAAACGAATCATATAAAATTGCTGCTGTTGTAACTAAAATTCTATAAATCTCGCTACATTACCTAGGCTACGTATATCTTCATTCATTAGTATTATTCACATTATTAAATTAAGTACTTACCATTAACTAAATTGTCAAAAAATGCATAAAATTATAACTCGTATTATAAATTCACAAAATTAATTTAACATTGAGTACCTAAATCCCAATTAAACATTGAAAATAAACGAAAAATTTATCACAGAATGTATCATTAATATTTAAAAGCATATTAACTGATTAAAAATTGAGATTAAAACCACGCGATATTGAACTTTAATTCACTATGAAAAACGTCGAAAATGACTTTTCCGGATTTGTAAAAGTTACGACAAATTTAGAGATTATAAATGTATGTAAGGTATAATTATAAAACTAATATAGTTTCACATTTTCACAACAAATATGAAGGTGTGGGTCATTTATACCAAAATATGTTGTTGAATGCTTTGCTATGGGAGTTATACGAACATTTATATATTAGAATATCTAATTTATGTCTTTAAGACTACTAAATAAATTATATTACATACGTAGCAATACTCAGACGATTTCGAATTAAATAAATAATGCTGTTAAATTATACTAATTTATCGTCACATTGCTACGGTGTTAAATATAATTTAATCCTAATAATTTTATATCATACGTTTCAAATACAAGTGCACCAATAGAATTCAAGTAATGCACGAATTTTAATAAATATTGGATTGTTCCCTGAAGTACAATACGCATATTATATTTTGTATCACATGATAGTCGTTTTGGTGGCATTAATTTTGTAATAAATAGTGTTATGAACTATAGGAAATTTTTGAGGAAAATGAGGTCAATGAACTGATACTGATCTTCCACGTGCGTGATGCAACACGAGGTAACATTCTTATCGACAGTAAATAGTAATATCTTAATATAATATGTACTTGATAAGTATGTTAATTATTGCTTGATAATTTAAAACAAAGAGTTTGTGCCCTTCAAGTATGTATCGAAGCCTCCAAACAGTGACGTTGCCTCGAAAGGCATTTGAAAGATAATGGAGGATGTAATCACGATATTATCGATAATTACTGGTACGTACATTGAAATCGAATTGTAATTTCATAGGTATTTTAGACTAAAACTAAATTTCATCCCACATTATAAAGTAAGCTAAAAATACATTTAAAAAATTTACAAAACATCTAACCCTAATAATAATAATAGAAAACTTTTTATTACTTAAAAATGTGATGTAATATTGTAGTTGTAAGTAGTAGCCTTTTTATTCTGTGGTAGTAGTGGCCAGAATGGCTCGCATTTCATAGACGGTGGACATAGAACATTTTGCGGGTAACTTTTGCAATAATAAACGTAGTTAGATAATCACAATTTAGCAGAAATTAGTTATTGCACATGAGCCCCAAATGTTTCGATAAGTTTCATTAGATTTGGTACCTTCAAACTCTGTGGTACTTTTCTGTTAGATATTTTTTTCAGAACAGTTTTAGACAATTTCTTCATAGATAATTTTTTTTTATGGTATCAATATTACTAATACCTTTAATTGTGTTCTATTTGGACATTGTTTTATAGTGATATAATTCAAAAAGAGGGTTAAATGACTTTATTTATGACTTTGGAAAATCTAAGCTTGTAATTCCGATTTTTACCTCACAGAAAATATTTTTTTAATCTGTGGACCCATCATTGTGTATGGTGTAAACAAGTTTGTGATAATCCCTTGTGGATTGAAATGTTGCAGATGAATTATTTTTTTTATTTGTATCTTATGTTCATAGAGTTAAGTTACATTATGGTTAATGTTCATGACTAATAAAGCCAGTCTCGTGCACGGCTCAATCATTGTAAATTTTATGAAAAATCTTATTTTTCTTGACAAAAAGAATTGATTATGTATTGTTGATTTTATATTTGTACAAACCTCTCTGGTTATTTACCACAGATGACTAAATCTTTTTTTTTAATAATAATCGTAGAGAAATGAATTGATTTGATTATAAATTACGAATTGCGTTGCGCAATTAATAAATATGTATCGAAACAAGGTTTTATTTAGATTCCTTTATTTTCTGAAAGTTCTGCCCCGTAATAATAGTGACTAGAAAGTGCTTTAGAGTGTAACTATTTAACACACGTTTGTACTAAAACTATTCTACTTAATTTATGTCTTAGATATAAATCAGCTTGTATACAAAGTCAAAATGGACTTTGACATTTATTGCCTTTGCAGATAGCATCGATTTATTACGTATTTATGATTATTATAATTAGGTACTATATTTAATTGTTGCTAAGTATTTTCCACGTGTTCATTGAGATCCATTTTGTCATGTTTGTAGTTATTTATCCGACCTATAAAGGAAGGATGATGGTGCTCTAGCTGGGATGAGTTTCTTGTCACCATTGCTCGTCTCAAACACATAATATTCTCTGCCATTTATCATTTTCATGCGTGTGGTCTCCACATTGAATTTAGGGTTCTTTCCAAACAGTGAGTCGTATGGAGGTGGCCGACTGTCGTCATGACTCTTTGATGATTTACCCGTTTTAGACTTCTTCCTTTTCGATTTCTTGTTCTTATTCAGTTTCCCGGAGACGTAGCGTTTTATGAACATCTGTGAAATTATAGAAAGAAAAACCTTTTATAACGAAACACTCACAGACAATACAAGGAGGTACACGCAAAAAGAAGTTTAAGTGTGGGAGAGCCATGCTTCGGCACGAATGGGCCGGCTCGACCGGAGTGATACCACGACCTCACAGAAAACCGACGTGAAGCAACGCTTGCGTTGTGTTTCGTCGTGTGAGTGAGGTTACCGGAGGCCCAATTACCCTCCCCTTCCCCAATCTTCCCAATTCCTGAATCCCTAACGATCCTCAACTCCTAATCCCCAAAAGGCTGGTAACGCACTTGTACCGCCTCTGATGTTCCAGGTGTCCATGGGCGACGCCGATTGCTTACCATCAGGTGATCTGTACCTACTACAAACAAAACCCCTTATATTGATACTTGAAAATAAATAACTTAAGTATGTATGTAGTCAACAGCTTACTTAAGACTACTCTGCATTTTCAACTTTATTCCATAAACAATAAGGTTTACAAACTAACCTCGGCGCCGAACACAGCGACGGCGGTAGCGGATCCAGCGACCATCACCATATACGTCATTATAAGATCACTGTTCCGGAGCTTACGGTCTTTGGACTGCAAGTCCAGAGGACATATCTTCGTGCTCGGCAGGTCACTGCGCTTCAGGAAGTCGAGGATACCAGCTTGGAATATCTGGGTTAGTCTGGAAATGTTAGAATGTTGGTAAGTAGTCAGAAAATTATGGTAAGTATGTTATGCCTGATGTTTTTTACAATTATAACAGTACAATTTCGAATAAATGAGAAGCAGTATATAACTATGCCCCACCTAAAAACATACTCTCGTGAGTAGGTACCTACTAAAATCACTCGATTAAAGAATTAAAAATCCAAGTTTTAGGGGACCTATACAGTAAGTTTAAGGGACAGTAGACAGGTTAGATAACGAGTTGTTACCCGGGTACTTAAAAAGGTAACGAAATACTTACACAGGATCGAATAAACCCTTCAGCTTACTGCCGACCGGGTACGCGAACGCCCTCTGTTTCTTCATAAACGCACTAGGGGCCACGACGTAGGTGCATTTCTCGGACTCTTCCACGTCTTTCTTCGAAATATAATCGTTGTACATCAAGTGGTCTACTACCGTTTGTTCCTTGACTAGTACTGCTCCTTTCTTCACGAAGTCCAAGAAGTCCTTGTCACCAGCCACGGATAGAAATCGAGCTTTACCGCTGCTGATCATTGCGTTCAAGAAATATAGGTCTTCGCCTTCCTGTTGGTTAACATTTATTATGATATAATGACTTAGACAAAGCTTAAAAATACAGACGACGAAAGAACGAAGCTATTCGAACGAGTTCTGTGTTGCAGCTATAAGATATAATATCGTGGTGCCTTTTTAAATCGATTGAGCAATGATTTTGTGACCTGAAAACTGAAACGACACATCTACCCACATACATATTTTAGTTCAATTTTTCTTTATCGAGTACCTAGGAGGCAAACGAGCAGATGGCATCACCTGGTGGTAAGCGATCATAGATAGAATAGATAAACATTGACACATTCCACATTTAGCAAGGTGACAAAATGGTTTTATGTTATCCAGATCAAACTACTTACTTTAGAAGTCTGAAAAATATCTAGCAACATACAGTAATAAACATGTGGGTAGGTAATTGTGAAAACTTACAGTTTTGACAACATGTTCAACCGAGCTGCCAGCTGAAGCGACCCAACGATTGTTCTTCTGATACAAGTCCTTTGGAGTTTCTATGGCGAGAGTAAACTTGGATAGAGTCAGGAAAGCCGTCAAATTTGCCGTGTAAAAAGCTGACAGTAGAATCATGAACAACCACCAAGTCACGAAGAGGACACGTGTTGTATCTAGAAAAAAAAATAGGTAAATAAGTAATTAATTAAATGGAAGTCGAAGATAGAGTAAGTATGTTTTATTAAATAATTAACACACACACACACTTTTGCCTATAAAACCTACCGCGTTAGTCTCTCCAAGTCCAAAATACGAATGTCTGTGGGTTTAGGTAGTCATGACAGGGTTCGACCCCGTGGTACCCACGGCTACAGTGAGATAGGTCACGTTTGATTGCTTAGCATCTAATTTTGTAATTTTAGGTGCCTGTAGGTAGACTAGTATTCAATGAAACTGGGAATAATTTTCAACTGCTCGGTGACAATGCGATATTTTTATGCCGTGAATATCTCATTACGTTGCCCCACATTTCCACAATGGCCTTACACCATAAAAAAAAAAATGTAAATTGGAATGGAATCCCTGACACGTTTCTGTCATTATCAGAGCTAAATGTGTCATTTTGTACAAAAAATTACCTAATTATTTGTAATGCACTAGTGTAATGTAAGTAAGGTGGACTATTATGTTGATTGCATGATTCAGGATTACCATTAGGTATGGAAAAATCGTGTAACCGTTAATGGAAATCGATTCCTATGTTCAACATTGTTTCATAGTGTCTGGAGTCATAGACCATGGAGGTATAGTCCGTAGAGTATCTAATATTTATGATACATAATTTATAATAATATAGGTAAAGGTCTTAAAATAAGAGAATCTTAAAATAATATACCTTTACTTAGGTATTAGAATCTCTAGATTCTCTTAGAATCAGAAAACACATCATCCCAATTCATAAAACTGTTAAGCCACTATCAGATCTGCTGAATTTAACTGCATACTGTTTCATTTTATCGAATACTTAGTATTAATCTTGGTTTTATTTTGATTGACTAAACACTTGCGATATTCTTTCGATAGTCCTAAGAGTACCTAATGCTAAAACTTTGTATAAATTAGATAGATCTGATTCCATGGCCAGAAAAGGATATTTTCTCGTTGGTTCAATATCTGCCTACGGAAATGTAATCATATCGAAAATACGCATCTGCAGTGCCTATAAATAGACTAAAATGTGTCTATACCTATTAGGTATCATAAATAGATCTTGCGTATCAGTAATTATAACATTTTAGGTAGGTACCTATTGACACCAACTACAAATTACATAAAAACTATGTCTATAAAACATGAATAACATCATTAATCAATCGCGTATCGTGTGCTGTATTTAATAACTATAATCGAGGTGGTCTGACAAATATTTTGACGGCCATCATTAACACCATTTTCATTTGTGATTACTTTTCATGTCGTTGTACCTATGTAGCACACAAAGTTCGAAGGGTGTGACAAAAAGTGATAGATTACGTAAACCATTAGTGCGATACGATCTTGTGGTAGGAATTGACCGCAGTTATGAAACTAGATCGTAATTTCCGAAGGTACCGTCATTTTGTTGGTTATATTGTAAACTTTATCTACGTACCTAATGTAAATAGGTACTTAGTGTTATTGCGGTGTGATTTCGATCGATATTTTTAACTACATTCAACACTATAGTAGTTTCTTAACTGTATACGATGGTTGATTATAGTACGTATTGATGATCATAAAATACCTAAATGACTAGCTGAAAAATTGGCAGTGTAGGACTGTAGGTACTAAAGTAACCACTTTTTCAAAGTTTAAACTTATGACATTGCACAAAACTAGAATAGGACAGTCTATTTTGATTAATACCTAACACTAGATACCTAAGTTACTGTACAGTGACTAGTGATGGTGCCTACCGTATTTTTGCACACCAGGTGGAGCTAGTGTGAATCTCTCGTTCTTGAGTCACGTGTATGTCACGCATTTGAACGTTCAATATTTAACGGCTGCTATGATTGGATAAAAATAGTGGTGAGCATAAGAACGTTAGTCCCATTGCTCTATCCACATGGATCAAATGGAGTTTCTTGCTCGTTCTTCTCCACTCGAATCGACATTTTGGAACGAGCGCCTAGCTTCACTGACGGACAGACTGACAGACTATTATATATTTCATATTTGTTGACGTTTCAAAAGTACCAAATTATGGTTTAATTGAAATAAATGCTTTTGAGTTTGAGTTTGAGTTATTATTACAAAAACGTGATACTCACTGGCTTCGGGTGACAGATTCGTTCCCTGTTTGAGAAAGGCGCTATACACGAACCAAAAGCTTGGTTTTAAGGGCAGAACGCCTTCGTCGTCTGTAATCAACTTGCTCCGTACTCGGGTGAAGAACGTGATGCAGGGTCCGAAAGTTAGAACAGCGGCCAGGACTAGGTACCTGAATAAATACATGTTATTTATCTTATCTAGGTACCCAAAAAAAAAAAAAAGTAGTAGCTTCTGCGAGGCAGGCAAGTTTAGAAGAACTTGTTGTCGAATTTTGGAACTAAGCAAGTCGCGTATGTGAAACGTTTATTTAATTTCAACGGTTTTCTTTGTCATTGTCATCTGTTTACTTTTAATGTGTAATAGTTATAGGTAGGTACCAGCGGTAGTTTGACAAATGACAAGGAAAAATAAATTAATAGAACAAGAAAGGGTTTTCGGAAACTACTAAACTAGTAGCGATAACAGTACCTGCCTATCAGAATCATTGACACAAAAGCAGCACTAAACTAACAAAAGAACAACAATATTAACATCCATACCATACAAGATCGTTAAATGGTGCGAGTAGACCGGAGCCGGCGGCGGATTCTTTAGGTCTCTTCAGCATCATAACCCACACTCCCTCGTCAAGGTCTATTGAGAACGACACCCACTCCCGGTATGGTAGCAATGTTGGTATAAATGCCACAGCCATGTCCACTTTCTGTGATGACAATTTAAAATTATAGGTACCAGGTTCTATATTACAAATAAGAAGATTTGGGTAGTGGGCAGGCTTTCGACATATTATAGGTGGATCGAGGAAATTAAAATCATGAGTAACAAATGGATGCAAGTGGCGCAGCGAATTGTCGCTTAGGTTTAAGAACTTAGGGAGAACAGCTGATGCTGATGGTTTGTTTCAACAACTAGCATCTACTGATGATCAAAGCTTTTCGCGGAGTACCTAGATATCAAGTACGTTGTACTTGTAATGCTTATGTAAAAATTGTTTTATGAAAATCAAAAAATTGCTCACGCTGCTGTTCAGAAGTCCTATAATAGAGTCATCACTGATTTTAGCTCCCAATTCGAAGTTCTTAGTTGGTAGTACCACTTCATAAGTAAAGTTGAACTTTTTCCGCAAAATATTCAGGATGGTGAAAGCCACGCCTTTGCCGACCACCGTGCCATTTTCGAGTTCTGTCGAACTCAGAGGTGTGTTCTGTAAATGGTTTAAAGAATCAAGACCTGCCGATAAGTTCTTAATTAGTACTTTACAAGCTTTTACATAGAACTTCTTTTTAACCAGTGCTTTATAAGTGATTATTTTAATGTTGTCAGACACTTACGTTATATGTCGTAACTTTGATATTTTTTCCATTGACTTCTTTCATTAAACTCATGAAATTGATGTCCTTCTCCGCCAGTGAGTCCGGCGCTAAATTCAGAAGAATGGAATTATCATTAGATAGTGTTATTAACTTGAATAAATTATCATATTAATAAACTATTCATATTAGACAAGTTGCGTTGTTCTGATCATCATCATCATAAGTGTGGGAGAGCCATGCTTCGGCACGAATGGGCCGGCTCGACCGGAGTGATACCACGGCCTCACAGAAAACCGACGTGAAGCAACGCTTGCATTGTGTTTCGTCGTGTGAGTGAGGTTACCGGAGGCCCAATTACCTTCCCCTTCCCCAATTTCCCCAATCCCTGAATCCCCAACGATCCTCAAACTCCTAATCCCCAAAAAGCCGGTGACGCACTTGTAACGCCTCTGGTGTTCTAGATGTCCATGGGCGACGCCGATTGCTTACCATCAGGTGATCCGTCTGCTGCTTTAACGGCTTATGGCATAAAAAAAAAAAAAATTAGACTTTAACTAAAGCATTTAAGTAGGTACTTTAAGAAAATTAGTGTTTAACATTTTACCGTCGTCATAATAATGCAACTGTTATAATTAAGTTATTTCTCTACATCCCCAAACACAAAAAACTGAAAAACAATTTAGACATTATTAGGTACACGCAATAAAGAAATGGCCACAAATCACCTTGATAAGTTTCATTGTAAGGTACTTCGCAGAAGGTGGCGTTACATATCGACGATATGATTAGTTCTATGCCGGCCATGGCATAATGACGGTGGCGTAGGACACATTTGGTGGTCGGTGGTCGAATGGCGAGTGGTCACTGGCGACTGCGAGGATGCGCCATCGCTAACATGGCCTTTCACCACCACTGTCCCCCTAGTAAACCACGTTGGATTAACATTGACATTCAGTGGCGTAATCAATAGCCACATTAATAATGCATTGCGGACGATTTCGCAAGCAATGTCATGGAGTTTTTGCATGTTATGCTGTTGAGAAGTTATGGTAGCTGGTGTAATTCAGACTAGTCGGGGTGGATTACGGATGTCTGAAATACAGTACATGTTAACGGTCTCTTACTTACAAATTGGAAAATAAAAGCAAATGCTAATAACCAAAGGTATGCGAATCAGATGGTGGTTGTGGGGATACGGTACATGCTTCTCAAGTTTGAGGGTGCAGATTCAAAGGGACTTTATTTAGGTAGATACCACAACAGGTAGGTTGTGGTATCTACCTACTTATAAAATAAAAAAGTCATTGTTGGAAAACTAATGTGGTGATCAATGCTTAGGCATTTCTTCTTCATACCTACAAAAAAAATGTAGACTCCGGAACTCTGTAAAGGTGCGTCCACATCTGGCGAATGCGGCGCTCGCGAGCTGCACCCCAATACTATGCTCATAGATATAGTAAAGAATATTCTTGTGGTTGTGCATTTCACCTACAACTTAGCGTTCGTGGTAAATTCTAAGTAAGAATTTAACGATTACACAAAAGGCATGTCCATACTATTCCATAAAATTATAGAGGTAAATAATCATAACTCGCTAATGGGTGACGGCACGACGACTCGGTAATATGTCATAGCCATGTGATCAACGTGTGCGTCGTTATAAGGGACCAGGTCAAAATCAGATTCAAATACGTTCCTTGGTAGGTAGTACCTACATGTTTACATAATAAATGGAATACGTTGATGCCTGTTTTTTTTAAAAAAAACGCCTTCAACTCATTAATTGTCTTGGTTTCGATTCTTGAGTCGAGTAAGGTAATGTGGAGGCGTATGTTTTTTCAAAAATTGCTCAGTTTGTAATGGCACAATCTCTCTTACCTACATGAGATCGCCTATTATTGTCTTTTAACTCGTCGAGTACCGGTTTTGTAGACACAATTATAGAACAATAGGTTGCGGTCACCGGTGACCGCTTGGTGTTTGACAGTTTAAAAGAGAGACTCATAATCATAATACCTACGTGCACCTCTCTCTTCTCTGCCCTCTCCCTTTGATTCACTGAAATTCACAAAGATTTTAATCTTTATTTTTGATAAACATTAGAGTACTTACATATTTCAAAATGGTTTTGTTGCCTATCCCTAGTATGAACGTGCATCAAACAGTACCGTTGTCGTAATAACCCCTCATTATAAAATTCAATATTGTTGAGCTACATAACAAAGGTTTTACTTAACCATGCTAAATGTTTGCTTATTGAATTATGTTTAAACATGTGCAATCTTCAGTAGTTCTTATTTACAAATATGAACCGAATAGGCACCTAATCATGTTATGACAAAGGGAAGCTTTACTCATATAATCAGAAACAGAATTTTAAGTGAAATAAATGATATTTTTACCTTGAAGGCAAGGAAGCTTGCTAATATAACGTACTTCATGTCCCTCATAAAAATATAAATCCCTTGTAGGTATAAAAAGTATATATCTACTTAGCCATACCGAATGTGGGAGAGCCATGCTTCCGAGTGATGTGTTTCGTCGTGTGAGTGAGGATACAGTAGGCCCAATTACCTTGGGAGGGGTCCCTACCCTTCTCAAATTCTAATCCCAAAAGGACAATAACCCACTTGCAACGTCTCTCGTGTTCCAGGTGTCCATGGGCGACGCCAATTGCTTATGAAGTCGGTTAACAATCAGGTGATACATCTACCTACTCGTTTACCGGCTTATACCTACCATAAAAAAAGGATACTAATATTTTAAGTGGCAAGTCAAGGCTACAAGGTATATTTAAAATGCTTGTGAAGAGTTACGATTTATATAATTAAGTATGTTATAACTAACAATTTATTAACATGTTATCACAGGACAGCCCTACCCGGGAATCGAGTCGCGGAGAACCTAACGGGTAACCGGGGCTCCGGCTCGACGTGCAGGAGAAGGAACGGGGTGGTTTTTAGTGCACGGGGTGGTTTTTAGTGCACCCAGGCGGGAGCACTCATTCGATGATTTTCCCCCCTTAAAAAAAAAAACCCGGGAATCGAGCCCGACGAGAATACCCAAAAAAAATAACGACATTGGAATTTGTGCTTAAGATTGTTTCAATATTGCAAAGTATGAAAAATATATTCGGTTTTCATCATAAAACATTTAATTTAATTGAAATAATTAATTTAAAAAATCCATTGGTGCGTTGCTAAAGTAATCAAGGATTTATGAACGAAAAATTTACTATCAACTGTTAGTGTCAAGAAAAGATTGACATTTTTATTGTCAAACAAAACGTGATTCGGAATCATAACACAACTTTTAAAAAATATTCTATCTCTATGATTTAGCAATTTATAATCATGAGAGACGTATTTTTATCAAATTGTGAAAAGAATTTTATAAATAAAATTGTAGTTGAAGGACATGTAAGAATCTTATTTGCTAAAACAGTTAAACTTATCCAAAGTTTGGTTATAACCTCAATCCTGTTTTATTTACAGCGTTTAGATGGTAGAACCTATGATGAAAGCAGATCACTGAACATATCCTTTGGATCGGATTATGGAAGCTGTATGGTTTCATTAGGAGAAACAAAGTATGAATTTTTTTATCTCCTCAGTAACTTGGCTACCTAAATTTTCGTTACCATTTGTTTCGTCTTAGCCCTAAGTAAATGTACGATTTTTAGTGTTATTCATAACCAAAAATGAATTTTCCAGAGTCCTAGCAAATGTATCCTGTGAAGTAGTACAACCAAAACAAATAAGGCCAAATGAAGGAACCATATACATTAATTTGGAGATCAGTCCAATGGCAGCCCCTCAGTTTGAGGCCAATAGACAGACTGAGTTTTCTGTGTACCTCAACAGATTACTAGAAAAATGTTACAAAGACTCAAAGTGCGTTGACCTGGAGTCCTTGTGTATTGTTGTTGAAGAAAAGGTAATCTTTTATACTGATTCAATGCTTTATTTATCTGAGATTGACAAATAGTCTTTAAAACAAATTATTTATACTTGTTTGTGTAGAATACAGGTTAATAACCATTGTAAATGTGGAAATTGTTTGTAGATGGTCATGCATTATATAGCCAATGAGTTAGGCTTAGTTCAAAGATTTTCACACATGTAAAATATTAGTATGGCTGAATGGGGATAGAGAAGTGAATATAGACAGAAGAGGGATGACCTATTCACCCCTCTTCTGTCATATATTGGGAAATTCTTCATAGTACATAGTTACCTCTCTTCCCCCATCATTCATCTCATGTATACTAATATTATAAAGCTGAAGAGTTTGTTTTTTGTTTAAACATGCTAATCTCCGAAACTACTGGTCCAATTTGAAAAATTCTTTCTGTGTTGGATAGCCCATTTATCGAGGAAGGCTAGGCTATAAAATATTACGCTACGATTAATAGGCGCCGAGCAGAGCGAGTGAAACCGCCCGGAAGTAGCTAGTTGGTATATAACCTGGTTCAAAGTCAATTCTATCTATCAGTTAACATAAAAGAAGAAAGAAAAATATTTCTTCATTAATAAAATTATAAACAAACTACTTGTAACTTCCAGGTCTGGTCCCTACGAGTAGACATCAAGGTCCTAAATCATGACGGAAACATAATAGAATGTGCAAGTATAGCTACTATAACTGCCCTGGCTCACTTCAGGCGGCCCGATGTCACCCGCAGTGGAGACAGTGTCATTATACATGACATTTCTGAAAGAGATCCCATACCTACAGTATTATTCCATTATCCTGTATGCACAACTTATGCTATATTCAATAATGAGTAAGTTTATTTTGTATTTAGTTAACTGAATGAACTGAAGTTTGAACATGACCCACTTTTAAAACTAATTAACCAAACAAAGATAATGATTACAAAGTATGCAAGTACTTGTTACAGCTCACTTATAACTGAAAACGTTTTTAGTCATTTAGATAGCTTAACTAATACCAGTTTTATAATTTCACAGTGTGCTACTATCAGACCCCAATTTTCTAGAAGAACAAGTATGCACTAGCTTCTCAGACGAGTCTGACACTGCTGGAGGACTTTTAGTGATTGGAGTAAACCAGTACAAAGAAGTATGTGTTATGAACTTAACTGGAGCCGCTATACAAGGCACCAACCTGCTAAATAAGGCTTTGAGTGGAGCTGGCGATAAGTGCAAAGAAATTGTTGATATGGTGAAGAAAGCTATTGTTCATGATGATACCCTTAGGTTAGTTTCGCCTTCAATTATTTTTTATAGTTTTTGATTCTGGTAAGATCATTCATATTTCTTTCTTTTATTTGTTGTAAGTTGTAGATAATGTAAATAAGTAAGCAAGTACTATATTACAGGGGGTGGACATTTCCTACTTCCCCTGTCTGTGTGTCTGTATACCTAGATCTTTAAAATTACGCAACAGATTTTAATAAGTTTGTCTTTAACAGATAGAATGATTCAAAAGGAAAGAATTTAAAGCATGCGAATCCGCAGCTAGATGCTAGTCAAGATTGTAATCCCTAGGCACTAGATACTATAAGATGAATTTTATTTGTACAAAAGTAGTATTAGAATACGCATTCTGTTCAAACAGTGCCAACTCTTTTAGAGAATTAAAGATGTAATTTTATGTATGTAGGTATGTAACATAATTTTGCCTTACATACCTACAAGTAAAAACGAAGTACTCAACTCAAACAGCTGAAATAGTAACACTATTTTGGCACTTAGTTTTTATGCTATCTGTGATTATTATATGCTGTAATAGATAATTTTATACCAGAGTTTTAGCAATCCATACAATATTTATTTCCAGGCAAAAAAGGACGAAGATTAACTTCTCAGATGTAATAACCCAGGACCATTTGCTATGCTTGAGTAAAAAGGATTTAAGTATAAAGCTAAAACATTATAATATTGATGATGCCGTGGAAAATGATGAAATGGATGAAGATGATTCTGAGCCAGAACCTAGCAAGTATGATGGTCAGTATCTGAGATAAATATCTTTTTTAAACAAACTACAAGATATGCTGTGATCTTATACAAAAGCATTTTTCAAAATGGGCGCACCATGTGACCTTTAAACTGTCAAACACCAAGCGGTCACCAGTGACCGCAACCTATTGTTCTATAATTGTGTCTACAAAACCGGTACTCGACGAGTTAACCGCTTAAATGCACCAATATGAGACACATTAGAAAATATATTGTCTCACGTGGATCCACGTTTAGACACATGACAGGTTAATTGAAAGTACCACTTCCCTACTATGTAGTTGTAGTTTCTAATGTCCTTCATAAACTATTTATTTGAATCATGACTGTCTAGTGTAAACTCTTTCTTTTTAGATAACTAATGTGAAAGTTGAAATTAACCATATTTATTCATTGTTAACAGTTGTCGCATCTGTACCTCAAACAGCAGAAATTCAAACAAAGAAAGGAGCTTCACAATGGATAGAAATTTCATCAGATTCTGAGGAAGACTGAAATAATACACATATACTTGTTAAATAAAATGTAATAAATTTACATTTTAAATATTTCTGTTATTATAATCTCTTAATAGTTACTATATTAGCCATTGCATGTCCCTCGTCAATAAACAATCATATCATTTGACACTGAAAGTATTCAACTATAATACAGAAAATATTATCAACTACATAGATTGAAGGCAATAAATAGAAAATTTCATGTGGATGAGAAAGGAAAAATGTTGTGGAATAATAAAATAATACATTGTTAAACATTCACTCATTCAAATCATATAGAATTTTGCAGGTGTACAATTTGGCATGAAGTAATATACTTCAAATATCTTTGCAATTGATTCTCAATCTATATCTTTGTTTTATTGTAGAATGCAGATTGAAAATTAAGAAGAAATTTAAATTCGAAACTATAAATCTACTTACACTATGTTAAATCTACACACTTCAACTATAAATTACAGTCATATCATTATTCTACACTGAGTCAGAGTTCATCCCGTTTTTCTGATCTAATTTATTACCATTTGTCTTTACCATATAAATGAAGTAAGTCATAATTTCCTTTTCATTCACAGGTAATGATTTAAAATGTTTCTGGATAGCCTGAAAAATAAGGAAAAGTTATGTTAATTAATTTGATCATAGATATTTTTACTTGATAGAACCAAATATTACAAATTTGAATAGATTGTTAGAATAGAATTATAAGATAAAGGTGTAAAACTTACATCAGCTAGTTGAGCTTTGTTGAATCCTGGCCTTGTTGGCACTTTGTAATGTCTTTTATACCTTCTTAATGTGTTGACTTGTAATTGGAACCAGTCTACTTCAGGTGAATCCATCTCTGCTTCATTGCTATCATCCTCAGAGTCCTTGGGCCTCCTTTGTTTTGTCCTTGCACACTGTATCATTGTTTTATGATAATCACAAATGTAAGTGTGCCTTGCCTGCAAATAACATATGGGATTCAGTTAGCCAACATAATAACTATGATTTTGTCCAAGTCAGTCATGACCATTAGTAATGAAAGTTAAAAATAAAAATGTGTGTGACTTACTTGAGGGTCAATGTTAAGTTTCAGCCTTCTTTGGGCGACAGTCTTTTGAATGCGCTTGCTGTACGAGGCGTTGCCTGCTGGTCGCCTGCAACTCTCACCGTCATCCATAAGGCAACATATTTGGTCAGAATTACCTCTGGAATCTTCTTCTCCTGTACTAAACCCGTTGTTCATTTGATACTCCCGTTGAATCATATATAACGAATAAAGTAAACTCTTGGATTACGACCCGCACCAGGCGATTGAAAACAGTTCGACGTATTCACAATGATACAGGATTGAGGTTATGATTTATAACAACACAGACCATTTGCGCCAAATAAATCAATGAAAATCATCACAGCAAATGCCGGACTGGTTATATATTGCACTCCGATCACTTTATAGGATAGTAATTCTTTATTCACTGCACATATGCAACAAATTGTACATTGCTTCTTCGTAACTGTTCAATCGCTTTGTTTGTCTAATAATTTATTCTTGTATAAGACAAATTTTAACACCACTTTATTACCTAGCACGCATTTACAATATTCTTTGTAATTTTAGGAAACTCTCACTATGCCGCGGAATAAAAGTGATTCGTATCCGCACCGACTCAAACTGATGGCTTCGCCATTACAATTTTATTATTACAAGTTCGTCATTTCATTCACTCACTCACTCACATACTTCAAGTTGCGGAGCGTCTATGAAATACGGCATTATGGGAATAGGGAATAACACCTAATTTAGCGTAACACGATAACAACCGCGAAACGAAAACAGTTCCTCAGTGAATGTGTGCATGAACACAATATGACAACGTATCTATGTATTGTAGTATAAACAAAAAATAAAGCTAAGCCTAGCGCAGTTATTGGCTGAAAAATGGCGGGGTATTTAATTTGGCCCAATCAGAATGTTTTGTCACTGACATCGTCTGTTCATGTATTCATTACGACGTGCACAGCAAAGTTCCCTACGTAATAAGCGCTGAAATCGTGTGCTCATTTTTAATAAACACAATACTCGGTGAGTTTCATTATTTCCTTCTATAATAATTTTATTTACACTAAAAAATTAAAAGTGGTGTTACATAAATTGTTTCTGTGAATTAAAAGGTTTCAGTGTTATACTTGAGGCGATATTTATAGTTAACATTCTAATTTTGTAAGCAAATGGCTGCCGAGTGCCGAACGCGAAGTAATGTGACAGCAGATACTACATGTACACATACAGCTGTATATCGATGTATGTATACATAACAATGTCATAGGTAAGTAATAGGTACTTATCAGGGTTTATTATGAAACGAATGTGATCATCATCAATGGAAACTTGGAAAGATTCGAAAAAAATATATCAATTTATCTTTGATTAAGTATGAGACACTGAATATTTTGATTGAAATGGTATTTTTAAATGAACCTATCTAGGAAGATATCTATAGGGACAGATAAGCAAATATAAACATTGACCGTGTGAAAAATGATATCGTCTGATAGTAGTGTGTAGGATATTATTGTATCTAGTTGCATGCCTATTACTAAACAATAAATGGAGTAACTTTAACCGCTTATTATTTTAAGGTTAAAAATTATTAAGAATGCTATTACTTATCATTTTTTTAGCTGTTCCAGATTTCAAATGATTATCAACAGTAAAATTTGGTATTAAAAATAAGAATTGAAGTTCTTGTAATTACGTGGATTTTTATAGTAATTTACTATTACTAAATATATATTCCTAATCAAAAGAAATATAAGATTTTCGTAAGTTTTGCAAGTGCGCATATTAATATAGTCAAGTTACAGATATTATAGTGGTACTGGTAACTGTGTGTGAACTACTCAGACGGTTCATCCTACGTTTTAGTCTTGTCATGTCATGTCTTTAAGGAGTTTATCACTTTCATACATTTTGTCAAGCTACTGAATACCTGTTACACCTATCTTAACTTTGTTTACAAAATTATATCTCGCTTAACGTCGGTAAACTTTGGGTTTATAACATTTCAAAACAAATATAAAATGACAGGCACCTACTAATGTGAGCATAACCTGTCTTTTCCACCTCATGCAACATGCACTTTACCCACTAATTTACTATACATACTTATGTTTAAGGATTGTCAAAATCTTGTGCTTAGGATCGGATTAGTGGGTAAAGTGTATGTTACATAGGGCGGAAAAGACTGGTTGTACTTAGATTATTTTGTACTTATGTAATTTTATGTAACTGAAGGTTTACACAGGTGATCTTGCTAATACGAGTAAAAAAGTCCTTTGAGCTAAATTGGGCTTAAATCGGTTCTATTCCTGGTAGGTAGACAAACAAATATTGGATATCAAGATATGATGACAGAAAAAAAGAACGAGTTTGTATGACATTGTATCTACCTTACACTGATGGAGGAGAGTAAAGTTCACGGGATGAGATGACCAAAGAAATTGGATTTTTTTTTATTGAAGATATCATCAATAGCGTTCTCATAATTTTTACCATCATCGGATAAATCCATCGCAGTGCAGAACATTGGTATTTCTAGATGTTTCCCCCCAGTGTTATTGTTATTTGATTTGATACAAAATACATTGAAGAAATTATACGATTAACCCTTTGAGTACCGTCATTATAGACACAATTAAAGAACAATTGGTTGCGGTCACCGGTGTCCTCGCGGACTGTTTTTATTGAAAAATGAATCGCTTAAACGCACATAATAAACTTATTGGTAATTCTACCAAATTGAATAAATCTTCTTTTTTGGTTTTTCGTCAAATAAGGTTTGTGTAAAATAAAAAACATTTGAGACAGTCATCGGAAACATTGGAAAATTGCACGCTGATGAAGCTTTGGTGGACTGCTAGATTTATGTATACACATATTACGTACATTGATATGTACGTACGTAATGAGCAATAGTTGTAAGTTCATTAGAATGTTGTTCATCGTCCAGATACGTGACAAATAAAAAAAGGGGTTAATTTATGAATAAATAAGATCAAGTCAATCAGGTGTATCAAAAATTTTCTGATTGCGTGTCATATTCTCAGCCTTATATAAGATGATGTTTGATCAGTTACAGTACAATATAAACATGTCAATAGAAAATGTATTTTGCTACTCTTTACCAAATTCGACATGCTTTTCCATAAATTGATTTCTTTCATTTACTATAATAGTGATATTTAAGAAAATTAAATGGTAATGTAAAGTACCCACAGCACAGCTACGTTTTTATTCTTTCTAGCACGACCTTGAACGTTTAAAACCTTACAAAAACTGTGTTCAATTAATATTTTACAATCAGTTAAGTAGAAAAGTAAGCACATTACATACAATTCAATGAAATTTAGCAAGTATTGAGAAAAAAAAATCATTCCGATATTTTTTTACCAAAATACATTTATATTCAACCTAACACTTTGTTCTATTAAATCATAGGTACATTATTTACAAATATATGAAATGGAGCCATTTATGATGCTTATGTAAATTTATTTGAATTATAAACAAAAGAATTTCAGTATGAACATGGTTAGCCGAGGCTGCGCTAATCGTCTTATTGACCGGTTGCTGGACGAGCTTGTTGCCAGTTCGTGCACACTCGTCTCTTTTCGTATATGTTCGAACGTTTCCAAAATGGCCGCTGCGCGTTGAGGGCGCTCGGGTGCACTTGTTTGGCGTCTGACTCTGCGACGTTGCCAACTTTATTGACTTAAGTACAAACGAAGACAAAACGTACGCGTGTGGAGTGGAACTTACAGCCGGTAGCTTTTTCATTAAACAACACGCGAGACCTTGTGCGTTTTCGATTTCCATGGCATAAATTTGATTAAAAAATAATGTGGTATACATAATCATATTAAGTCTTTGTGATAAAAACAGATTTCAAAGAAAAGTGACAGTGTTTTAGTGAAATATACGTTTCTTGTATTAGTTAAAGCTTTGTGCTTCAATATTTGCAATTTTAGAGAAAGGACATGATTTCAACAGTTGTCGGAACGCAGGAAACATTTTAAAGTGACCAAAGAGGCATAAAATAACTGGTTGACCGCAAGCTACGATTGTAACATGGGGGATCGGGGCGCGACGGGGGACGCTTGGGGTGCGCGCGACGATGCCTCGTGGTGGCCGGGTGGCGCAGGTGAACTACAGCATCAACAACAATTACATGAGGAAATCGCAAGAAGTACCGCAGCCTCAACTCATCAACTGTACACCTATAAAATGACCGGAGGGTTTTCAAACAATGGTGGTGATAACTCGACTCCAAGTTATGATTACCGCATAATGTCGAATTCGAATGCAAGAGAGGATTCTCCTCAGCAACCATGGTGGTATGCATCAGGATCGGTAGAATCGCAACAAACTTCTTCACCTACGGTACGAATGGTTTTACTGGCAAATACAAAATTATCTTTGTAACAAAGGAAGTCATTTGACAATAAAATATTTTATAGGAATAACTGTTGAAATCGTATTGATAATAATTACAAGAAACGACTCAGTAAAGATGTAATTATTCAGTATGATATATACATATTGCTAGTACTCATACAATCACAACAACAAACTAAGTATACAATTTTTTAAAACAATGTAGCTAGATACCAATACTACTATTAGTATTAAGTATTTAACTTATAGTATTAAATGTGGAATGAGTGGAAGCCAATGTCCAATACGTCATGCTTACCAATCTTTAAAGGTACTTTTAAAGAAGTATGTTCATAATAATTAGTAGTTATTACAAACAAGCTTTGTTTTGAGGTTAAATTCAAATAACCACTGGAAAATAAGCACAAAAGTTAATTACCTTTATCCAAATAATTATGTATATAGTTCATAAATTAACATTTCGTTTTAGCTTAATAGAATGATACACCCATGTACTAGTATTTATCGTAGTTTGTTCACTTTTTTTTCTATTAAGAATATTCCTTTGGTTTATTTTAGAAATGGCAGTTAGCGAACACTTACTGCAACTGTAAGGAAATCATTCACTCTCTTCTTTTAAAATGTTTTATTTTCATTCGGTCTATTTTGTAATTTCGCTATATTTTTCATTTATATTCTGATATTCTCGATATTGACATTAAACTTGAAGACCGCCTGAAGCAAGTGGCCTGAAATTCAAATTGGATACATTTTTCTTTTGGGTTAAAAGTAATTAGAAGCTTAGTACAAAGTGTAAATGTACACGAAGTTATTAAAGAATTTTAAATTCTTATAGTATTCATGTTATATACATTTTACCGATAGAATTTTGTGATTACGATTGTAAGTATACCAATGGAAATATCAGTTTAACACAATAGGTATTCTATTTCCTAATATATTATATAATATTAGGTCAAGGACGTTGAAAAAATGCAAGTAATTTTTATTCAACGACACCATACTATGACATTATTCACAAGTTGTCAAAACTCTTCTCTACTCTACTCTTGACTAGATTGACATGGCGACGCCTGACGGTGTGATCAACATTCAACTTCAAGGTCAACCACAGGTCAACACAAAACAATAATAAACTCTTTCACCTGATAACTCTTTGGAGGTTTTGTCGCCAATCAAGATTCAAGTATTCAAAAAGAAGAAATTTTGTCTAGACTGTCTTTCTTATCCCGAATAGATGCGAGATTTCCTAAATCAATAGTTTCGATCATCAGATTATCGGAATATAGTTTTACTATTGCGATAAATGTTTTTCTAAATCACATAGTTTTGTTCTAGCTGAAACAGTTTACGATTACGCCATTTTTATAAGTTGGAGTAGCTTTAGTCAAAGTCAAAATAGTAAGTCACAATTCTTAAAAGTTTTTGTATAAGTACCTTTCTTTGGGACAAAATAGTTACGTTGGGATGTAGGTAATATTAATTGGACCTAAAAATAATAAAAGTTAGCTATAAAATGACTATAGGTATAGTTTTTTTTTTATACTATTTTTTATATTATATTTAGTTATACTATAGGTGTTTGCCCTACTCTTGAACACTCGACTAGTATGGCCACAGACAGATCTTAATTTTTTAGATTTTTAGACCGAATATGAAAACAGTAGGTAGCAGCTGTTTTGGTTCAATGACAACTATAGTTGGATGATAGAGATTAAAATTCACAAATTGTAGTGGAGTACTAGAGTAGACTATCTTAGACTACTTTAATTGTTTGAGTTAGGTATACTGTGGGGAAAAATACTTTTTCGAGAATCTAAAAAGCTTTCTATCTTCAACTTATGAAATTAATCTAGTTTGAATAATAATTCCCAAATAAATATAGTTTTCTATTGTTACAGCCACAAGGCCAGTCAAGTCCTGATTCTGAACACAATAATCAGCAAGCTAATGGTATACAACAGAACCACCAGACTCTGCAACAAGTACAACAGGAGCAAAACCAGGCTATCCAGCAGCAACAGAACCAGCTGCAACAGCAGCTGCAGCAACAGAATTTACAGCAAGCTCTGCAGCAACATAATCGTACATTGCAACAAACTTTACAGCAACAACAACAAAGTCAACAGGAAACTTTGCAGCAAATGTTACAACAGCATCAACAGCAACAGCAGCAGCAACACCAGCAACAGCAACAACAGCAGCAGCAACAGCAGCAACAACAACAGCAACAAGCTTTACAGCAGAGCCTGCAACAGACTCTGCAAGTGAGTCAAGCACAAGCTCAAGCCATTGTGCAAGCACAGGCAGCTTTGCAACAGCAAGTTGCACAAACTCTGCAGCAACAGCAACAGACTCTGCATGAACAGTTGCAAGCTGTACAGCAACAACAAATTCAAGCTGCATTACAACGGCAATCTGCCACCTTACAGGTAAAAATAAATATTTGTATTTACATAATAAGATTGTACAATATATAAATAGTCATATAAGGTCAAAGAAAGGTTAATAGTCTCCTATTTATGAGAAAGTTTTAAATTTACTCAATTACACTTTTTTTTTTTTTTTTTTTTTTTTTCCAATCCTGCTTAGCACAGCAATCTGTTTTTCCACATTTAGCTGTTATTTTCTTTGACCTCAGTCTGAGTGTGTCTTTAATTTAAAGAGGGGTCCATTGACTTCACTCTTTATAATGATGGAAAACGGTTTTTGAGGGAGGGAACACTGTTTCTCCTCAGTCTTGAGTGCTGAACGCTGCCAGTGCCTGTTAGTTTATTAGCTGAGGCATTTACATGATTCGATAACTTGGTCTGATACTTGGAACTTCTTATGGAGATTTCTTGTTTCACTGTATTAAGATTTAGATCTCGTAAAATATATTTATTGCTGATGCATTTAGGTATGTTATACATGCACCTAATGCTCTTGGTTTGGGATCTCAATTACACTATTGTGTAAAATGTAGTACATATTATACAAACATAAATTGGTAGAACATTAACAAACTGCATCATTGTTTGAAATAAAAAAATATTGACATTTGAGTAAATTCATAAAAATTGAAGGCATTAAGTAGATTTTTTTTAGTAGTTAGTAAGTCTTGAAGCCATAGAATGAAACTTTAATGTGCAGGAATTGCAGCATCAGGCTCAACAGCAGGCGCTACTAGCTCAAGCTCAGGCCACTGTGAAACAGAAGATGCCGAGGGCGAGGGCATACAATAAGCCGAGGGGTCGCATGACAGCTTATGCATTCTTTGTACAAACCTGCCGTGAAGAACACAAGAAGAAACATCCTGATGAAAATGTTGTCTTTGCTGCATTCTCAAAGAAGTGCGCTGAGAGGTGGAATGTAAGTGATTATGTTCTTTATATATTCATCTTTTTTTCAAAATGTACATTGCTTTGCACTGCTAACATCTGTCATAAGAGTTTCTTTTGTGTTGTTGTTATTGCATTTACAGTTTACAATCATTAATTCACATACACATAGCACTTCAACCTGTAGAAACATTCCGTGAATGACAAAGTGTGGATCCATGCGGGTGTCGAACCCGAGGTACAATATGCAGAAGCTAATTGTCCAATCACTACGACAGCCGTGTAAAGTCAGCAATATACTTTGTTTTAAGATTCCGTGTTTGTATTTATAAGCATAAAAAAAATTCTTAGAGTCTACCATATTATGACAGTCTGTCTATAAAGAGGGTGTGTGTAGATGAGTTGTTCCCGGTTCTTTTGAATTAGACTATTACACCATTATATGTCTGACTGGCATCATGCTTAGATAACATGACATTATAATATTTTTTAAATCTAGTGTCTAGATCTATCGATCTATCTAGATTGTCTATTTATATAGGATGTTTGGTGCAACGTGTGCCTAATTGAAATGGCAGACAGAAGGGATCATCTGCGAGCCCTTCAGGCCCTTTGAAACCGCTCATGCCCTGTGGAGTTTTATCTTAATTATATATTTTTTTTTCTAAAAATCACCCAAATTTTACATTCAAATACAAACTTTAAAAAAAAGACTGAGTTTTAATTATAGTTAAAACTCAACTCGATTTAAGGTATGCAAGAAAGAGATTAGAAAGTAGATTTTACTGTACAAGAGTGAGAAAACAAATTTTACCTCTATCTCAAGTAACAGTTACTCAATAAAAATATTTTCATTATAATTTGCTATATTATAGTCATGTGACTTGACTCACAATTCTCTAGAATTCAGAAAGTTGTCATAAAGATTTTTATGCCATGTGGCACATATTAGCAAGGACAGACTGGAGAATTGATGAGGAAGTTGGAAGATCCTGGTCTCTTTTGGTTTTCTTTTTTAAATCTGTTTAGTATGTAACAGCTTTAACTCGTCGAGTACCGGTTTTGTAGACACAATTATAGAACAATAGGTTGCGGTCACCGGTAACCGCTTGATGTTTGACAGTTTAATTTAAGTTTTACCTTTGCGGGGCAATTAAAACATAAATAGGTGATGAATGTCACTCATTTTGTATTTAAAAGTACTTTTGAACAATACACATTCAAATAAAAATTAAATACATAGTCACCTCCGCTTCATACTTTTTTTAAAGTTGTATTTGCATGTAAAGTTGGGTGTTTTTAGTAATACAATAAAACGTCGTTAAAAAAACATATACACAGGGCATGGGTGTTAAGGGGCCTGAAGGACTAGCAGATGATCCCTTCTGTCGGCCATTTCAATTAAGGCACAAATTGCACCAAACACTGTATAATATAATACTAGCTTTTACCCGCGGCTTCGCTCGCGTCACAAAAGGATAAAAAGTATCCTATGTGACATATACCAATACACACAGCTCTATCTATACCAATAATTTCGTTTTCCCTCGAGAATATAAAATTTTTCCGGGATAAACAGTACCATATTATTTATTCCAGACTTCTAACTTTACGTCTGCAAAAACTCAAAACAATCGGTTTAGTAGTTACGGCGTGAAAGCGGAACAAACAAACAAACTTACTTTCCGATTTATAATATTAGTAAGGATTTTTTTTTAAGGGGGGAAAAATCATCGAATGTCTGCTCCCGCCTTGGTGAGGCGGGAGGGAGTGTCAGACTCTTACTGACTAAAAACCACCCCGTTCCTTCTCCTGCACGGCGAGCCGGAGCCCCGGTTACCCGTTAGGTTCTCCGCGACAATATTAGTAAGGATAGATTTATTCGGTACATTCTATCTCTTGCGACTTTGTTAAGTTTGTAACAATACTGAACTTCTTTCTAAATTTCACTTTGGCCATGTTCTGTGTTGCTGTAATGTCTTGATTTTTAGTTTTATAGGATCTGAAGTATTGGCACAATATTAGTGTATTGTGTGCCAAGTATACCTACATAAATAACTGAAATTCTCATACACCTGCAAATGGGGATGATGACAGGGTATGAAAATTAAAAATATAATTAGTCCGTAACTTAGGTAATAAAAAAATATTAGACACGTATTTTTTTATTTTGTTGTATAATAAAACAATACTTAGATAAAACGAATCAAAGTTTAGGAGTGGGGGCTAAAACGTCATTTCTTAGTATAAAATGTACTGAGAAGTGACGTCACGCGACATTTCAAATCAATATATCTTCGAAACTATTCGTTTCCATAAGAAAATAAAAAATACGTGTCTAATGTTTTTAAATAATCTACCAGACGGACATTAAAATAAAAATTAGTCGTCTACCCCATTGCAAATGTTGTTGGTTGTAGATTCTTACTTTAGCATTAATTAGTACTCAGTAAATATTTACATACGGCCACAACGATTTTAGACTCAGTTAATACCTAGGTTTTTAGAAAAAACCCAATAAAATGCTTTAATTAACCCAGGAATTTAACCTGAGACCTATAATTATCTATTTTCCTTAATTATGCTACTTGACATAAAACACATAATAAATTATGTATAAAGTTAAAAGTAACTTTAGTATGCTTCGTTTAATATAGGTTTCATCTTATACTTTATACTATAATCTGAAGCTGAAGAGTTTGTTTGTTTGTTTGAACGCGCTAATCTCAGGAACTTCTGGGCCGATTTGAAAAATTCTTTTTGGATTGGATAGTTCGCCTATCGAGGAAGGTTATAGGCTATAAAATATCAAGAAACGATCAATAGGTGCCGAGCAGAGCGACGATAATAAAACGATAATATGTTCATACCCTATCTGGCGAATAACTTACATAAAATGTATTTTTCTACCTTCAGACAATGTCAGAGAAGGAGAAGCAACGGTTCCATGATATGGCTGAGCAGGATAAGAGACGATTCGATCTGGAGATGCAGAACTACGTGCCACCTAAGGACATGAAAGTGCGCGGACGCAAGCGGCAACAGATGAAGGACCCCAACGCGCCCAAGAGATCGCTGTGAGTTATGGTCATGAGTTTTTTTTAACCCGGTTGTCACCCTGTGCTTATTCCTATTTTTATAATAAATAAGTCCTATTTTTCCTTGAGCATGATTGGGGTTCCCTAGCTATATATTTTGCTTCTGTACATCATCACTTGATTTCGTTTTTTGGCACAGTATTTTTTAATAATGACACTTCTAAATATGAAATTGCTGTTTAACTCCTTAAAAAATATTACGTAATATATAGTTGGTTTCCAGTCAATAAACGTGTATTAATTTCAACAGATCAGCTTTCTTCTGGTTCTGCAATGACGAGCGTTCGAAGGTGAAGGCAAACAACCCGGAGTATACAATGGGTGATATTGCCAAGGAGTTGGGCAGACGCTGGGCCGCTGCCGATCCCGAGACCAAGTCAAAATACGAGAGTTTATCGGAGCAGGACAAGGCGAGATATGATAGGGTAAGTTTTCATTATTTTTTTTTAGGAAATATGTTTCTATTGTAACTTTCGTGAGACATACTAATTATTTATTATGTTTTCGGTTTACTCGCGTAACTGTTTGACGAGGAACTCGACTAGTTTCACTAGTAGATAGACTTTACTTTACTTTACTTTTAGTACATAGACTATCGTCTATGACAGTAGACTATAGTGATCTATAGTCTACTTTTGGACTGTGGGTCTCCTCTACATAAACAGGGTTAACCTTAATCTCGGCATGCTGTTTGAAAACCGCAGTTTAAAATATGAAAGAGAGGAGAGAGCCGGTTGCTTTATTAAACATAACTTTTCTGTTTTTACCTCTTTTCAAAACTCTTATATTATTTTAGATTAGCTACTTCTGCGCGGTTTCACTCGCTCTGCTCGGAGCCTATTAATGGTAGCGTGATATTTTATAGCCTTCCTTGATAAATGGGCTATCCAACACAGAAATAATTTTTCAAATCGGACTAGTAGTTTCAGAGATTAGCGCGTTCAAACAAACAAACAAAAAAACAAACACTTCAGCTTTATAATATTAGTATAGATAACATAACTTTACGCCATTTATCTCCAAAGGGATAGGGTCCCATCCCATGTAATAGGGGGTGAGCCTATTGCCATACCAAACCCCATGCTACAACTGAGAATTAATTTTAAGAAGCGCAGTAATACTTTGTCCGACCCTGGAATCGAAATTACGAAACGTAAATTCTTTGTCAGTGACACTAGAATCATAATATGTAGGAATTTTCAGATGTAACAAACGACGGTCCCTTACCTGCCGATCGGGCGGCAGGTGCGAATCATTTCTTTATGTGATAGCTACGGCTGGTGTTCGAAATGAAAATAAAAAAACCGGTCTCAATACCAAGATTTCTTTAATAAAGGCTCGTTATATTTATGATGATCCCTTCTTTCTCAATTTTATAATAAGTCCTTTTTTGTCCTAATAATATGGTCTTAGGTAAGTTATGTTCAATAGAGCACCGAATCTTGAATTGGTAGGTTTAATAATTGGATTTTGACAATTTGGGATAGCTTGACGTGTTGGCGTATGACAACTGTACATAGGTGAACATATTGCAGCCGACTTTGTTTTTCAGAGGGTTGATACAATTTGTATTGATCGTGTTAATGTATTTCTAGGAGATGACGGCGTACAAGAAGGGTCCCCTGGCGCTGACGCAGCAGCAGGCGGCGGTGGTGCCGGACGTGGACGAGGACGGCGACTTCGACGCCGAGGAGGAGTACAAGTGAAGTCCTCCGCGCGCCGCGCTGAGATCCTGGCCGACAGCACAGCCGTGGCAACAGTCCTCACACACCAAACTGTTCCTTGTGCACTAAATTTTAAAGTTTACCTTATAGCTACAGTCGACCCCTAACTTTTGCCTACAATTTTATATACTCGGATATTTTTATACAACGACTGGTCATTTGTACAGATATTCGATAGCGGACGACTGCTTTTCATATACCTAATAATATACCCTCGTGGAGGTTTCTATTTTTGTTTGGAAGGTTTTGCCTGGCAAACACGGGTTTGCTCAGTGAGAACTCTGAAATTATAAGTATAATTTGTTGTTGTTAGTCTATGGTTAGTTTTCTGTTTCGACATTGTTTTTGTTGTCGAATATTCTAATTGTAGGTGCGATCATAAAGTGCAATCGTCGCGGCCATGCCGAGCGGCGGCGTGGCGGGCGATGCTTCGTTGTGTAACCTGTGAATTGTCTTTAGGATCGGGTTTCAAGGGGCCTTATAATTTGAATCATGTAACAGCAATAGTAAATATGTACGGAACAAAATTAGGTTAAATGAGTCCATCGAAAGAAAATTAAAATTAAGTGGATAGTATTTGAAGTTAGAAAATTTAGATGTAAGTTTGAAGAGAGTGAGTGAGATTCTGTTATTCGTGATGAGAAAATGTATAGTAAATAAATTATATTCCTTTATTTACCTTAGATTATTTTATGTTATTCATATTTCTTTTACTTATTAAGATCTTGTTTAAATTAAAAAGATACTATAAAGACATTCGATGCGTTGTTTTATAGCCATTTTTATTTGAGTTTATTATATTGATCAGTAGAGAATTGTAAATTCTTGTTTGATGAAATTGTTTAGTCGCTGGATAGTCTTTTTGTTTTACCATTTTACATAGTAACGTATGTATCGTGTGTACAAAGAACTGCAAGGACTGCTACCCGTGATAGTACTTAAATTTGTAGGTCCCATTACCGTCTATAGAGTAAATGCTAGATATTCCTACCTTTGCTTATTTGTATTGTTAAATGTGTCATTTGACTGTTTTTATTTTTTCAAATGTTTGTTTTTGATGACGTCTTACACGATTAAGCAATTATTTAAGCAATTCCACGAAATTAGAACCGTGTCGTATTAAAGTCTAGTGGAAAGGAAAATGAGAAAAATATTTTAAGTCGTTCTTAGTGTAATAGGGGCGATATTGTTTTGAAATTGATAAATGCTCACTGTACAAAACAATATAGTGAATCTTTTACACAAATACTGGCCTTTGATTTTATTTATTCTTCCTACAGATACCCTGCACCTTTACCACATACTAGGAATGGTAAAATTAAAACAAAAACACACAACAAATCATTTGAAACATTTTATTTTATAAAAATAAACGTTTTGACGACAAATAGTTACAATATTCGGGGTCCTTACGAATTCAACTCATAACAGAGTTCCCACAAGAAATGTTTCAAGACATTGTAAAAAATTCAGTTTTTACAAAAGTTACTTTTTATCTTAAAACATTAACAACATTACATTTTTCACATCTAATTCTAATAACGGTCGATCACTTCATTTTTTACGTTACCATTAATGGTTAAGAAAATAAATATTATTTTGGAAATGTAGGTACATTCAGCTACCAATTTTGATTAATACAATATACAAACAGCAACTGATCCCACACACTGCTGTAATATTTGTAAAACAAAACAATCCTCAAAGAATTACGTTTACAATATCTTACAATTATTCTCTACGAAAATTATATTTAATTAGGCACTCAGTGTACATGATTGGGAGAGGGAAAAGAGTTAATTATTAATTCTATCTCATTATTTTGAGTGTTCAATATGCCCGGAGTTAACAATCAATTTACTGAAGGTTACGTTCGGTCAATAAATTGGTTGTCAAATAACCAACCAATATTGAGAGACATGGGCGTCGCGCCGGCATAAGTCTTGCAATATCTGAATATATCTAGGCGTCCAAGCCAAAAAAATGCAAAAATTTTTAACATATAGACATAATAGGATGAGGGAACGGGTGACTGACCTTGGGCTGGGATGGGCCCGTTTATTACTTCACAAACATATCTAGACAAAACTGATAATAGTTTTCGAGGATAAGATGGCTTAGGTTAGATCTTGTTCTAGTTAGGAAATTTTGAAATTATTTCAAAATTCCTTTAGATTTTACCTAGTCAAAAAATAACAAATACATAATATTTTAAATCATATTTTTTTTTATTTGTGGGCCGGCTGTCACCAAGTGCACCTTCTTGAAAGTAATTCTGCCGGCAGCGGCGTCCACGAATATGAATACAGATTAAGTAGGTATTATTTATGGTTGTTATATTGTCATCTCCTACATGCAGTACAAAAATCAAGTACCAAATTCCTATAAAAAAGTCTAAAACATAACAGCAGTGTGCACCGAAGATAAGTACGAACTCAGAATGAAATAGGTAGTAGATTTACACAGGTTCCTAAGATTCCGAGAAGGTACAAACTGAATTAATTTCGACTTCTTCACAATGGTGGTTGATGGCCTCCTGATTTCACTGTGTTCACTGGTTACTCTCCAAAGACTTTTTTGGACGGTGAGCATGTGATTGTGATTATTTGAACAGGTAATGACTGATCCTTTATACAAATTGTCGTTTATCTAGGTAACACGATGGTTGATTACAGATGGATTCGCAGCGATGCGGGGCGTCTTACTAGTGCTACACCCACGCCTAATCGAAGCACGGGGTCATTCAACTTTAATTTCATGTACAATGCAATGTATTTCATACTCTAACTATAGTACATAACCGAACATTTTATCGAAACGAGCATTGTGACTAGAGAAACTTAGATAATTAATTTACTGGAAACAGTTTATACATGTCTATTATGCTATTTCCAATTAGTTTTTTTAAATACACACATATTGTAATTGTCCGTACATTCCGTATACCGGGCTAATGACAAAAGCTCGTTGAAACATAGTCTACATAATACCTATTCATATATGGCATACACAATTATAATTAATGATGTCTTTAACTAATATCACGAAACGCCGTTATGCAAATCAAGTTTTTTACCTACGAGATCAATAATTTTATTACATCGTTTGGCGTAAACACTTCGTTCAGTATCGTTACAAAATGGGTAGTTCCATAAATTGAGAGGGAAACAATCGAAACAAAGCGACAGTAAGGTGAAATACAATACATTATGTCCGAGTCAGATAGAAGGTAATACCCTGATTGTTCGAAGAAATGATAAAAATAATCGATAGGCAGATAAACCGCGACTGGCCGTTCTTTCAGTTTGGTGTTCAAAGAAGATATTCCTAAGCGAAATGTTATTTACACGTCGGGTCGGGGTCGGAGTCTAGTACAGCGCGGTCGGCTATGAGTCGTCGGCCTCGTGCGGGTCGGGGGGCTGCTGCGGGATGTAGTTCCACCGCGCGCGCACCTCGCTGGCGGCGCTAGTGGCGCCGGGGTCGGCGGCGGGGTGGGGGGGCGCGC